AAATTTGAAGGATTTTTCATAGGTAAATAACATTAAAATCTGTATTGTCCAGTACTTTGAAATTAAAAATCTTGGTGAGTAAATGATTTCAAAACATGTATTAATTTACAAGTGCAGCTGTTCAATATGGTATGAAGATATTGAAAAAGGAGGGGATATGTACTTGTATAACACAACTTAAGTGTTTTTTGATTTTTTTTAGATCTTAAACAAGATACCCTGTGCCTGAAAACCAGTCACCCATACTATCATCAAATTCAAGGCCAGCTACACATATGTAACAAAACATTCTGCGACTTAATTGTGTGGACAAGAGTAGACTGCATTGTGATTAGAATAGTAAAAGACATTGAATGGACAGCAAATGTTCCAAAGCTGATAGATTTCTACATTAACATTTTCATTCCAGCACTGATGGAAAACTGAGTTCTGGTTTGAACTTCTTGACACTTAGTTTTGTACCTCTAGAATTTTCTAACAATGGAAAATGGGTAATCATGTTAAATGTGTTGAATTTTCCTAAGTCTCATAAATGTATGATATGATATGTCACAATCCATCATAAAACTTCTGGCTTATAAGACTATTTTAAATAGCAATGATGATAATAAAATCTATGTACTACATAAAAAAAGAATATCAAAATTTAGAATCATTTTATTAATGAATTGAAGATGTTATTCTCAAAGTGAAAATGTAACATTTTTGTCTTTCTTAATAGATAAATTGTTGAAAACATGAATTTGTTGAGTTCTGCTTTGAAGGTAAATATACTTTAAACTAGAGATTTAAAATTATAAGTAAACCCTCTTCCAAATTATATTGTCAAATGAAGAATGGAATTGCCAAAAATTCTTGTAATAAATCCATGCTAACAAAAGGGATTTTCATTTTATGAAGCATATGTATTACAACATACTACAAAGTTAACAAATATAACATGTATAACCATTGACATTGATAACAAATCAAAATTTGCTTATCCCTTGCACTTTGGTATGAATATCTTCACTGTTTAGTGTATACTGTCACACGCCAATGCAAATTTATAATAAGTACATGCATCTTTAAGTGATTTCTTTCAAAAGTGGAGCTTGCAAGTTTACAAGACAAGAACAGAGTTGAACTAGGTGCTGTCATGAGACAGTAATACCCGCACTAAGGTGTTTGCCTCTAAATACACGCTCCTAAATATAGGGCGTCTTTCCAAGGAAAAAGTCAGAATAATTCTATAATTTACATAGGCGTCGGAACCGGGGGGGCTAGGTTTATTGAACATTGCTTCATAGGTTTAGCCCCCCCCCCCCCCCCCCGCCCCACTTTCCACAGACACATGGCAGTATAGGTAAAAAAAAATGGGAAAAAGGTAGTGTATAGAAAAAAAAATTTTGGTACTGAAGTTCAAATTCACCCCCCCCCCACCCCCCCCCCCACCCACCCCCCCACGGAATAGGATTTTCGTGTTTGGGAAATTGATATTTTCGGTTTTTTTTTTTTTTTTTTTTTTTTTTTGGCTTGTCAGGTTTTTGAGAAGGTATAAAAAAATTTTTTTTACACCTAGCCCCCCACTTTGAATTTGCTTCTGACACCAATGATTTACATGTATTCATCAAACTGAGTATGAAATTCTCAGACCCTGTGACCTATAACTCAGAACCTCTTATATTTATTTTACATGCTTAATTCATTATATACCAGTTTGAATTCTATTATTGATGTAAATTAGATTTTGATAAATGTTTTGCTCATAATAGGACCATAATTGTACTATACATGTTAACATGTAAATTTCTACATCACATCACGTTGCGTCACCCATTATCATATTTTTAGATTAAACACCATTTGGCACACCTCGGCCGATTCCCACTTCATCTGATAAGGTGACGGAGTCGACGAAGGTTTGTCGAATGGAATTAGCACATGGCTGCAGTCTGGTGTGCATTGGATTAATTCATTTTGTGTTATAATTGGATTTATATTTCATGAAGTTGACGAGACATATGGCAGTCGGTAAGTACAAGTTTAAGTATAGTGGGGGGGGGGGTAAAATAAACCCAAACGATTAGGTTAAAGTTCAAAAAGGGTCAAAGATCATCGCATGCCACACTAGACGAATTTCATATTGTGAAGTTATCTGCCATTGTCGATGTGACATTCAGTTACTGCCAATACTGGTGCGGATCCAGAATTTTTTTCGGGAGTAGGGAGGGGGGTTCACATCTCAGTCAAAAAATTTCCAGCCCAGAATTTCCTGACAAGCAGGAGAAAAAAAAACTGAAAACAAATACAATGATAGTGTGGTCAATGTTTTCTCAGTTAGGGGGAGGATGTCCAAAGTCATTTTTTATTTGCTTCAGTGTATAGTCTTGTTTAAATAACAAAGCTAATTCCAGGGGGGGGGGATGGGGGGATTCCAATCTCCCTACCCACTCCCTGTCCCTGAAATAACAATCTATTTTGTGATTCCAATTAAATAGTGTATTTTTTTTCCATTTGAGTAATTATACATATTTTGTTTCTTGTGTTTATATTATGTCTGTCTATTTGTCTGCAGAAATTATAACCTTGCCCATAAGTTTTAAGTGGGATGGGCTATACAAATGGCTTCCACATTTTATAGGTTTATTTCTTGTGACAATTAAGACCTTTTATTTGGGTACCATTAATTTTTACCTGAAATCGCTTGACCTAGGATACACATTTTTACAAGAAAAATACCAAACTTTAAACTTGGCCTAAATTTTGATCAATAGGTGCTAGGGCTTTCATGCTTAACATGTGTATTCATTGCGAACTGTCAACAGGTATAAATATGTTTGACCTTGACCCAAGAGTTTGAACCACTTAAAAAAAAATTAACCTTGGCAATTAACTTTTGAACAGGAATTACTAGGGATTTCTTTATTTCACATGTGCATTCCTTCTTCTGATACTAACAATTTGAACCCTTTGACCTTGACCTTTGAGTTTGACATATATTTGAGAAACTTCAACCTTCGCCATAGGCTTCCATACAGGGACATCAGTGTTTCACAAACACATCTTGTCTTCATTATTATTTGGTGGTGTCTCCATATGAGGGAAAAATTCCCAAGAGAGATGTATTCACAACAAACAAACAAATTACTAAAGAAAATATAAAACATGAATATGTTGGTCATGCATATCTCTGCATGAAAAAAACAGCTTTTCAAATACTGCAACCATATTCTAACCCTTTCAAAACACTCATTTGAGCTTTTCTGGTTTCCTTAGCAATATAACGTCTGTCGTGACGTGTCGTCCATCTGTTTGTCTGAAAACTTTTTACATTTTTAACTTCTCTAGAACCACTGGGCCAGTTTTACCCAATTCATATAGAAATATGTACATTTGTATGTCAGACTGTCCATCTGTCTCAATAAATTTAACCTTGGTCATCACGGTCATATCTACTGAATATTAAACTTATGTATTAGTATTTACCTGTGAGAATGGCATGGGTTTTTTTTTTTTTTACCTGTGACCTAGAAGTTTGACCTACTTGCAAAAAAATTAAATTGTTATAAATTCATCATTTTGAAAGAGAAAAGTTAGGGCATTCATATCATAATGCATGTATATTATTACCTGTGATAAGACCTTTCCAAATAAATCATGACTTTTACTCTGTGACCTTGACCTTGAAGCGGTCAAGCCTCTACTTTTCAAAAATGTTGCATTTGCTTATAACTTTTGATTGAGATGAGATATGACTCTCACATTTGATATGTACATTAATTACTCATAAGAATTCAAGGTGTTTCCCAGCATGTGATGCTTTTTTACCCCTTGACGTTGATGTTTTACATAATTTTCAAAATATTTAACTCTCCTAAAAGATGATTAGGCTTCTGAGTAACATTAAGGAAGACTTCAGGGAAGACAGGGCTTTTTGCACAAAAAACGTCATTTTTCGACCCACATTTGACCCCCCAGGGCAAAATCTTAATTCCAAAACCTTACTGCACATCTACCTGACACCACCAACCATCTCCCAACAGATGATTAGGCTACTGTGTAAAATGTAGGAGAAGTTCAGGGAAGACGGGGCTTTTTGCATAAAAAACGTCATTTTTTGACCCCCATTTGACCCCCCGGGGCAAAATCAAAATTCCGAAACCTTACTGCACATCTACATGACCCCACCAACCATCTCCCAAAAGATGAATAGGCTGCTGAGTAAATTGTAAGAGGAGTTCAGGGAAAACGGGGCTTTTTGTATAAAAAACGTTATTTTTCGACCCCAATTTGACCCCCCGGGGCAAAATCTAAATTCCGAAACCTTACTGCACATCTACCTGACACCACCAACCATCTCCCAACAGATGATTAGGCTACTGTGTAAAATGTAGGAGAAGTTCAGGGAAGACGGGGCTTTTTGCATAAAAAACGTCATTTTTCGACCCCCATTTGACCCCCCGGGGCAAAATCAAAATTCCGAAACCTTACTGCACATCTACATGACCCCACCAACCATCTCCCAAAAGATGAATAGGCTGCTGAGTAAATTGTAAGAGGAGTTCAGGGAAAACGGGGCTTTTTGTATAAAAAACGTTATTTTTCGACCCCCATTTGACCCCCCGGGGCAAAATCTAAATTCCGAAACCTTACTGCACATCTACATGACACCACCAACCATCTCCCAAAAGATGATTAGGCTACTGTGTAAAATGTAGAAGGAGTTCAGAGAAGACGGGGCTTTTTGCATAAAAAACGTTATTTTTTCGACCCCCATTTGACCCCCCGGGGCAAAATCAAAATTCCGAAACCTTACTGCACATCTACATGACACCACCAACCATCTCCCAAAAGATGATTAAGCTACTGTGTAAAATGTAGGAGGAGTTCAGGGAAGAAAAGTGTGACAGACGGACGGACGGACGGACGGACGGACATGAGTAACAACAATATACCCGAACTTTCTTTAGAAAGTGCGGGTATAAATATTTTTGTTGAGATTGGTCTGTAAGTAGATGGTATGTGAATCTCGTAATTCTTTATCCTCTCGTTGGCTCTTTCCACATGAATAAGTGCTTTAGCAATCTTGTAACACAGTGCTGCTTCTTGTATGGTAAACTGGCCTAGTGTCGATAAAAGAGCTTTTATAATTAAGCAGACACCCTGGGGCAACTGGTCATGAATGGTGAAACCTTTGACCACCAAAATAAGGTCTCCAGCTTTGAACTTTCGTAAAACTTGGCTGTGACGTACAATAGCTACATCAGAAGTAGAACCTGGGTACAGCATGGAGCAAAATGTAAGTGCACCATTTGGAGGCACGCAAGTTACTGCTTTAAAAGTATGGCAACTTTTGTACATACTGTAGGCCATGGCCTGATTATCCATATGTGTTGTGATGTCCTGGGTTGTTTCAATTGCATCCATGGATGCTCTAGCAGAGGAAAAATCCTCAAAAGATTTTGGCAGAGACCCTGAAAAAAAGTTGGAAAAAAATTAATTTGATTATTTGTAATTGTGTAAAAAAAATTGTGTTACAGTCAATCTTTCAAGAATACAATAAATTTAACTGCATTAAATTTTTGCAAGTCATTATGATAAATCTTAAAACAAACCTTTGCATTTAAGCTGACTTGGAAAACATTCTACGCTACATTCTACACTACGCCATCAGACAGCATCTTGTATAGGGAAAAGACCACTAATTATTTTCCCATAGAACTCCATACAAACCTTAGGCCCTCTCAGTACTTTACTATGACAATTTCAGAAAAATCTTTAGCATCATTTCAAACTTTGTTCTAAGCCCTAACAAAAAATACTGAAAAAAATACATGGTCCCATGGCGTTTATAGGTCAAAATTGCAGTTATTTTCAACTTTTAGAGATTCGCAGTAAATAACACGCGGCATAAAAAATCAACCCCCACTCCTAAAATCTTCCCTGGCATTTCTATAGTTTCTGTAATATTCCCTCATCCCATCATTTATTTCAAAGGTCATTAATTTTACTTTAAAATGAAAACAATTAAATACCTGATTTCAGCCAATGGCGTAACGCCTACCCATTCAGTATTCAGTGTAATGTTCCATAACAAACAAAGCCATGTGTACATTCGGGAATTTGGTGCTCTCATTCCTATACTTACATACTTACCTGTCCCAGAATTAGTCAATTGTGGTAATTTCAAAGACTATACACCTACCTGTGAACATGTATGAAATTTGAGTCCTGTGACTTCAGTGTATTGGATACTGTGACCATCTCAAATGATGACACCTTACTGCTACCAGCACAATTCAAAGGAGTGAATGACGTCTGGGCCGGTGATGATATTTGGATATATTGGTGACTGTAATAAATAAAATATTTGTACAATGAATTGTTTTTGTGCTTTAATGTTAATAAAGTGATATTAAGTCAAAATTGAGTCAATAATTTCATAAGGGTGGATTCTACCCAGAATTAGGTAAAAAGCTCCAAAATTGGATAAATCGTAGTTAATTAAGCAAAATTCAAAGGTTTTAAGAAGACTGATATAGAAAATTTTTTATGCTTATGCAAAGGATATTATTTAAGACTCTGATATACTAATTGATTCTTATCTAATCCCTCCTATTGCTCAAGTATGTACAAAAAAGTTTCCCCACCCCCCAGTGAAAAACACTTAAAGAAATAGCAGGTGCCCCCTTTTATTTTTGTTTACAATTAATTTAGACAAGTTTAAATCAATCCTTTTGATAACAAATCAAAGTTCAATGTCTGTAGTCTTATACATTACAATCAGAAGCTACTTTTTGAATTTTATTCTAAGAAAAGGAGAATTTAAATAATTTTTTTTTAAAAATTAAAGAAAAGCAAAAACTGACTTCAAACCCCAAAATGTACTATACAATAAGAGGCTGGAAAGTTAATAAATAAAAAAATTACCTGCAATGTACAGAAAACTGTCCGACAAAATACATCGGGTGGGTAGGGAGTCTCCATTTTCTTCTTATATAGAGAAAATGCCCCTGCTGATCAGAGACCTAACACTCCCAAATAATAACAAAATATGTTTAACATAACAGTCAATCTAAGATGTTCATCCCTCAATGGCAACAAGTTTTTATTACAGTAACTGAAATTGATAGGAAATAGGAAATCACAATTGGAATTCCTTTAAATGTACCTTCTCTTCGTTGTATTTAATATCGTGGATTGATATTGGCTTCCTTTTACTAGACTCTATTTTTAGGGCAAGCAATTCCTTTTCCAGTTGTATTTCTGTTGAGAGGCGCTGCATTTCTTGAGTACAGTTAAATGTGCAGGATGCTGAGTAGTTGTGCTCTGATATCAACTGAAAATATATTGTAAATCATGTACAGTTAAAAGAACTTTATATATTATTAAAAATTATTGAAAATGTTTCAGTGTTGGTCATTTGTCATCATTGGTGTTTTAAATGAGCTTTACTTTTTCTTGATATTGACATTTTGGTGCTTGTGGAATCTGCAACTGGTCCATCTGTGAAGATGACAGGGACTCCTCACTTTTGAGTTTTTTTCTCCTTTGTAAAATAATTAAACTTGAATTATTTTTTTATTCAGTTGTAAGCTACTCTGTTTATACATGTACCCTTTTAAAGTTTTTTAGTAAAATATTTTCAATTAAACTCCACCCACCCACCATCCAAAAACAAGATGTCGGTCACATTTTGAAAAATAATTTCACCTTTTTGTACATTCAGGATCAGAGAAATCCATGGCCTTTCCTTCATTCCATGCAAAATATGCAGGGTCCCCCTCCTTCTTACCATCCTTAAAGTGGCAGGAGCAGATGCGATCATTCTGATCTCCTGGTTGGCGATCAGCTCGTCTAAAAATATACATTAAAACATTTTTGTGACGTCATTATTTTGTTTCTACAGTCTCGTATTTCAAAGAGGGTACTTGCTATAGTCCAATATTATTGTCAGGAGTACAATATTATATCTAATATTGTACTCCAAAATAATACTGGACTGTGTGAAACAAAGGATTTTGCACAGCGAATGAATAAGGCAGAAAATAAACAAACATTATGCATTTTATATAGAAAGCAACAATCTCGTAATCCAGTTCAAGCAATGGAGCAATCAACATCTCGTAATCCAATTTAAACTTTAAAGAAACCAATTTATGCAACGAAACTTCAAAATAGGAGTATCTCAGAAATCCAGTAGAATTTACTTTTCTGTTGCGTCATGCAATTTTATTGCACGCATCACTGAATTGTAGAACACACATCACAAGATTTCGAATATACATCACAAGATTATCGAACATACATCACAAGATTTCGAATATACATCACAAGATTATAGAATATACATAACAAGATTTCGAATATACATCACAAGTTTTCGAACATACATCACAAGATTATAGAATATACATCACAAGATTTCGAATATACATCACAAGATTATAGAATATACATCACAAGTTTTAGAATATACATCACAAGATATTGAATATACATCACAAGATTTTGAACATACATCACAAGATTTTGAATATACATCACAAGATTTTGAATATACATCACAAGATTTCGAACATACATCACAAGATTTTGAATATACATCACAAGATTATCGAATATTGCAACGTTTGACATGCCATAGTTGACACCTTGTCATGATAGATTACATGCATCAGATCCATGTTAAAGTCGCGTATTAAAAAAATTGAGGGGCAATATGAAAACCATATATCCTTCTGTGTTACATGATAGATTACATGATCAGTATGTACTGGTTCCTGCCGACAAAGCAGGTAACAACATAGTCTGCGTTTGTAAGGCTCATTACATAAACTGTATTTTAGAAGAACATGGATTTAATTCTACAAGTGGTAATCCTACTTATACTCAAACTTCCCTCTCTAAGGGAAGATTCTTCAAAATCAAATGTCAGTTTTAAATATTTTTAATTTTCCACAGAGCCAAAAGGAATTTGGACTATCTTATATATATTGGATTCCGAAACTTCATAAAAATCCTTACAAACAAAGATACATTGCGGGTTCCAGTAAATGTTCAACCAAGCCACTTCCGTTACTCCTCACTAAGATATTGACAGTAGTGTAGGAAAAACGTCGGGAGTACTGTGCAACAATATAGTCACGAAGTGGTGTGAATCAGATGTGGATACTCAAAAGAACTTTTAGATAATTTGAAATCACGAGATTTTACCGAAATCAACACCTTAAAAACTTACGACTTTCCAACTTTATATACAACCATTCCCCACGAAAAATTAAAGACCAGGCTTTTTAATATCATTGACAGCTGCTTTTTTTTTAAATAAAAATGGAGCTCGTAAATTTACTTAACTGGAATTAGTCATGTGCATAATTATTTTATTATAACAAATTCTAATTGCACACACAAGTACTCTGAAGATGACATAAAATGATGATTGTGTTTCTGATTGACAATATCTAAACGGTTTTCGGAGACCAGGTCTTCCAACAATCCATTGGAATTCCAATTGCGCTCCGTTATTAGCAGACCTATTCTTATATTCATATGTAGAAGACTTTTGCAAAATATTATGCGTGAAAAGAAGAAAACACTTGCTGTGGCCTTCAACTCGACATTTAGATATATCGACATTGTATTGTCAATTTACAAAGGTAATTTCCATTCCTTCGTCGATACGATATATCCTGGTGATCTTAAGATAAAAGACACCACAGAGTCTGAAGCATCTGTTTCATACGTGGATCTTTACTTGAAAAAGACGTTAATGGTAATCTATCAACCAAGCTTTATGATACCCTGACGTGATGGCTTTAACTTTTCTATTGTCAACTTCCCTTACTTATGCAGCAATATACCTTCATTACCTGCATACGGAGTGTATATATCTCAGTTGATTCGATACGCAAGAGCTTGCTCTATGTATGAAGAATCTCGTAAACGAGGTATATTATTGACATGCAAGTTGATGAAACAAGAATATCAACGCTCTCGTTTAAAATCATCATTTCGTAAGTTCTATGGTGGATACAATGACCTTGTCAGCAAATACAATTTATCATTAAGTCAAATGCTAACTGACACTTCTGATACTTATTGTTATTCCATTATTTATACGCTGAATTGACGACTAATTTTTCCATTATTTCCCGATCATGACAAGAAGCACACGGCAGGTGAGACCGGTCGGCAGGGGATGATCACTGTTCCAAGGCACAAAACTAACAAAATGAACACTTTAACAAGAATGTTGATATTCCTGTTTCATCAACGTGTTTGTCAATAACTAACATGAAAAAAGACGTTAATGGTAATTTAACAAACAAGCTTTATGATAAACTTGATGACTTTAACGTTTCATTTGTCAACCTTCCTTACTTATGCAGCAATATATCTCCATCACTTGAAATCAGGGTTTATATTTCTCAGTTGCTTCAATAAGCAAGAGCATGGACTACGCACAAACATATTTTAAAAAGAGGTAAGTTATTGACAAACAAGTCGCTGAAACAGGAATATCAGCATTCTCGTTTAAATTGACCATTTTGTGAGATCTGTGGTCGACACAATGATCTTATCAGCAAATACAAGTTATCATTAAGCAAAATGCTGTCTCAGGTTTTTCATACGAAGTCTTACTAATCCAGCTGATCATGCTAGAGATTCACGGCGAGATTCTTTTGACTTCGCGCCACGTAACCTCTAGCATCCATTATAAAAGTTCTCGCCGCTGAAACCCAAAGTGGAAATAAATTATTCAATTAAAACTTCATGCTTTAAATATGAAAGAATATATGAAGAAAAATTGAAAGTTAATTTTTTGTCATTGTTTCTTTTTGATTCTTCTTTTAGATTATGTAATGTTAGAGTAGCTACTCTCATCACCTACAATGAGAAAATGAGAAGATTATGCACATACAATTCATAAACAATATTGCCTTTGGCTACATGATTATGAATAAGGAGCTTCTTATCAACAACAGAATTATAAATTTCTGACTAGGGCATAAACTATGATTCTTGGACATTTCAGAGGTGGGATCCGGCGCCTCTTTAAAAGTCACATAAGCCTAATGTATTGATCAAGAAAAGCACATTGTAGTCAAATTAAGAGCAATAAAAGAGGTTTAAGAATTGGTATGAAACATGTCAGCCGAAACATAACCCGGTGGTAAGCTATGTTACTCCTCCAGGGAACTTCACCTTATCTTTGTAATGTCCAGGGGTCCGTGTTGTATTCCATCTTCACACTGTTCATATACTTTATAAAGATCGATCACTGCTCGTTTTCTTCCCGTTTTTTATTGTTCAATATAACGGTCAAAGACTTTAAACAATGTTGTTAAATTCCCCTAATACCAACTTATGTGTTAGTAGTTTGCCTCGGTTTAAAATTAATCATACTCAGAGTATGCTCTTTCAATCAAAGGGAAAAAATGAAGGGTCTATTCTTTATAAACATAATAAGTATAAACAGTCTTGTTAATATCATTTTCAATTTTCTACTTTTTACTTGTGATCTGGAAAAGGTTTATTGTATTTCTCTTGAGAACTATAACAATATTATCCCTTATTACCGTTATGGTAACAACACTAGTAGTTACCCTGAGTATTGACTCTGTCATTCTTCTTATCAACATCTGGCACATCAATTAATTCCAGGTATTGCACTCTAAAAAGAAATGATTAAATTTAGCTAAAATACGCTTTAATAAGCCTTATCATGCTTCAATGACCCCTATATAAAAATTCAGAGAAATATGCATGGATTATTTAATGTACATATTTAATATGATCAATGTATGCAATAGATTTTCAAAATTGTTAAGGTATTTACAACTTTGATAATTTTGCATAAATACCTATTTTCTGCTTTATTAGAGTCTGAAATGAAGAAAAGTAATTATACATTGTTAACGAACAAACTAGCTAAACTATATTGAAAGATTTGCTTCTTTGTTTGTGACATTTCATAATTATATTACCTTTTATCTTTTCATAAACATTTGTATCAGTTGTTTCTAAAAGAAACGAAGAAAAAATAATTGAAAGATAAAGTAATATTAGCATATTCCGATGAAATTCAGATAGATATCAAACCAAAGTATTGATATTTATTTGAAAGCCATACATATTCAGAAGTACATTGAAATATATTCAACTCTTTTTATATCAGTTGTGCAATAGACGTCAGATATTAGCCTTTTTTCAAACAAGGGTAAATATTTGACATTCTTCATCATACAGTGAACTTTTTACAAAGATTATCTAATCAAACATTACCTGTATTTGAAATTCCCTGGTAATGGTGATCTTCACGGGAGATAATCACGTTTGTTCTTTGTTCACTTAAAAAAAGTAAGCATAGCCATTACTTTTCATTTATCAACTCAACTCAAATTTTTCCAAGAAATAAGAACTAAAAGAAAGTTATCAGACATATTAAAAAACAGACATTTTAACTGATCTTTTTTTCCCCAAACTATCCCACTCAATTATCTTTTTTTTTTAAATCATCACGTTTTGAATACTTTTTAAGGAATAAGACATGACGATTCTTCATGGAATTAAAAGACTTATTAAATAATTACCTGCCCAAGGTCTCTTTATTTCTGTCTATAATAGGAAATACACTTTATACTTTCATATATATTTAACAATAACAACATTTTTCACGATTTCAATGGATATAAAATAAATTAACAATAATGCATTTTTTCACTAATCCATGCTAAATATTACTTAAGTATCTGTTCTCCTGGTGTCAAACAAATAAAAGATAAGAACAAAGTACGGTATTGGCTAAAAAATGCCGACTGTCAGACATGCTTTGTTCAAAACATTTTAAAAAGCTTAGAACTTTTAGAATCAAATGATATATAATTTATATATCTGACTTAAATGTATGCATTGGAAAAATAACGCTGAATACAGTACCTTTTATAGCAGAACGTCGAGATTTTACGGAGAATTTTGACGCGACGTCATGAATACGTTAAACGTGTAGTAAGCGTAATCTGAAAATTCTATTTTACTGGCTAGGACACAGTTTATATTACACTGTAAATATAAATTTAAGAAATTAAGTTGTTGATTTATTAATACGTTATTATTTTTTTTTAAAGTTATTTATTATCATTATTACTTACAATGTAATCCTCCACGAAGGTGTCGCCGCTTTAGTTGATTAGAATTAAATCAAACAGAGGAACGAGGAGAAAAAGAAATAAATAGTCTTTTCTCTTTGAGATTTGCTTTCTTTTTATTTATTGCATTGATTATACGGGTTTAATAATTTTTTTTAGCTATTTTTCTTAAATGAATTGAAAAAATTCTTTACATCAGATCTAGTGAAAAAATGTCCTGATGTATGGAATGCCATATACGACAGCCAACTGCTTAATGTCAACTGCTAACTTCTTACTGCCAACTGTCAGCTGCTTACTGCCAACTGCCACATATATTTGAATAAAACAGGAAAATGGTCATTTTATAAGATATTAAAGGAGTTATACATAAGAGCAATTACTTTTTTATCAATGGTTTCAGAATGAGTACTTAAAACTGACCTTGGAGCCCCCCCCCCCTGAAAACGCGGATCTGTATCAAGTTAATTTGTGTGAAAATCATAGATATGAAGATATGGAACATAACCAACCCACACCGCCCAAATAATTTTTCACGTTTACGAAAGGAGTTTACGCTATTTGTCAAGAAATTTCTGAGTTCAATTTATTTAGACTGGGGTGGATCCCCCCTGGAAAAAAAATCCTGGATCCATGCTTTTTTTAATTTTGATTTTTTTTTTTCGACAATTCACATAAATATTAACAAAAATATGAAAATTTATTAAAATATGTGTGGCAGTTGGCAGTGAGCATCTGGCAGTTGGCAGTAAGCAGTCAGCAGTTGGCAGTAAGCAGTTGGCTGTCGTATATGGCATTCCTGATGAAAAAAAAATCAACGTTTCCCCGGCACCAAAAAAAAAAAATCAGTTCTTTAGAATATGGTATATAAGGTGCACGAACATTTAAAAAAAAACTCGAATGTCAAGATAATTATTATTTAAATTATTATCATAATTATTTGAACAGTAGTTTAGAATACTATGTTTATATAATGTACAGGACAGACCCCCCTCTACATCATATAAATAAGAATGCGAGGGATTTCGAGCCCGATTTAAAAAAATATCAGCACAGTAAACTTTTTAAAGTTCATTGGTACATTAAAACTGATTGTTTTCTGTGATATATTCATTTATATCCTGCTTGATGACAGAGGAATACTTGAAATTGAAATGTACCCCCCCCCGTTCTGAGTTTAATGAGTTGATATTATTAATTATGCCTAATATAACAGGCATTCTTTCAAATTCGCTTAAAACGTTTTAAACACCTGTTCCGAAATTATTATTGTTTTAGCATTCAGAAGACTACTCTACTCTTTTCTCACTTGAAAGGCTTTCTATATTTTATTTTATAAGTCCGTGTAAATACTTACACGTATAAGAGTCATTTTTATATATGTTTACATATTTAATACATGTTGACAATAATGTCGGATAAGTATAATCGCTCGTGGATTTTTTTCTTCAGAATCCCCATCTCCTACAGCAGCCGATGACAAATAATTATCCCAAATTCCAAATATGTCTTTATTTCGTTTTCGCCTATTCTTATTAGGATCAAAATATTAAAGTTGATAGTAACACTTTCTGGGTTTTTTTTCCATTTCTCGCAAAATTTCTTTGCTTGGTAGAGAATGTAGCTATCTAAAAATAAAAAATCTTCTTTGTGTCTACTTTTTCTGACAATTGAACGTGATACACGTATAATTCTCGCAATAAGCAAAAAGAATCTAATGGGTTAATTTACAATACAATACAGACAGGTATTTCCTATGAGTAAAGGATATATTAAACGTGTTAAATGTATTGGTTCATGAAAAGTAATTTTAGTCATTTTCCACAGGAATGAATTTTAATAGATTAAAATAAGCAAAAAAAAAAAAAACAAAACAAACCGAAAACAAAAACAAAAATAAAACAAAGAACACAAACAACCTGCAAGTCCCTACCCGGGAAACACGGGTCTTTCATAAGTTGGCCCATGACACCACCCTCCCCCTTAGCTGCAGAACTGTAGCTCTCCAAAAAAATATATATATTGATGGAACGGAGAATCAATATTTTTTTTTTTGGAGAGTTACAGTTTTGCAGCTACCTCCCCCATAAATGGGTATTTCCTTTTCTGAAAATGTTGCAGTGACGTAGCATCGTTTTTGAAAGTAAGGGGGGGGGGGCAAAGATGAAAAAAAAATAACTTACCTGAAAATAGTTGACAAGCAAAAAACGAAATATTAATGAAAATAAAAAAAACATAAAGGGGGGGGGGAGGGAATTCCCAAACTCGAAAGTCATGTTTCAGGGGTGAAGGGGTGGTGTAGAGGCCAACTTCTTTAGTATCATTTTTTAAATACAATATATATATATATATATATACTACATGTATATGTAATTTACCCTTAACTGTAACTGTACTGTAACAAAAAATGGAGGGGGAGGGGGGCAACCGGCCTATCAAAGAACATTTCCAATAGTAAAATTTACTTTTGGAAAAAAAAACCCTCCCCTGTTGCTACGTGCCTATGTTGAATTTTTTTGACAGAAAAAATTTAGTCGTTAGCTTCTTCTTTAGCAGTGGTAAATTGACTTTTCTAATTCTACATGTAATTCCTTGTACATGTATGTCCCAATATACGCCATGCCGTTTCTATAGTACAAAATGAATATATATTTAATGATATAAAGTGGTGGGATTTTATCATATATAAACGTGTACTAAAGTGGTGGGATTTTATCATATATAAACGTGTACTAATATGTGGTAACTAAATCTAGTACAAATATTAAAAATAGATGCTAGTTTTTCTACATGGTGTTCATGATCACAAATTAAGAAATTCAATTGTGATTGTCTATGCAGTCGGAAATTACGGATTTACCTGGATTTAAGTGTGAAATATATTTACATGTATCTGTGTACATAAAAGACGTACTGTTTACGGATATCACTAATTTTATAGCTTAATTGCAGCACAATAAGACTTTTTTCACAGGGAAAAACAAAACAGCAAATGTGTCCGAACACTTTTTTCGTTGCTGACAATTTTCGAAGACGATCTGCTTTCCTTCGTAACAAAGAATCACGTGGGTTCTGCCTCAACCGTTTGACTCTCTACTGTTACATGTAATCTCTAAAAAAATCTGAAAATCCAAGGATAAAGGTAGGGGAGTCCTTAGCTTGATCACAAATCAGAAGCGGCTGAGTGTCGATGATCAATGTCAGATAAATTTCAAAATTCCCTATCATGCGCATGATTGTAAGTCTTTTTTTTTTTTTTTTTTTTTTTTTACCAAATAACCACTGGCTTCTAAATATAACATGTAATTTATGACTCTGCATCGGCGTCGGAAGCAAATTAAAAGGGGGAGGGGGGCTAAGTGTAAGAAGAAAAATTTAGCCCCCCCCCCAAAAAAAAAATAACTGACAAGCAAGAAAACAAGGTTATGTCCATTGTCCAAACACGAAAAACCTATTTCGTTGGAGGGGGGGGGGGGGTATGGGTTCGAACTTCAGTACCAATATGTTTTTCCAAACAGCACCACTTTCCCAATTTTAAACCTATACTGTAACGTAACGTGTCTGTGGAAATTGTGTGTGTGTGTGTGTGGGGGGGGGGGGGGCTAAACCTACGCAGTATTATTATATGATTGAATAATTTCCATCTCTCTGATTGGCTGAGATCCAACTATGTTAGAAAAATACTACGTTGTATTGACCTGCACGTGACGCTCCAGGTCAATACAAGGATTTATTTCCTCTACATTGATCTAAAAATAGATCGGGATATTCCAAATTGATACAAATTGATTTGGAAAGCTATTTAAACCACTATGACTTGTTTTCATGTGGAGAAAACATAAGCGAATATATGTTTTCGGGTGAGGGTGGTAAGAGGGGATGCATGGACACTCCTCTAGATCTATTACTTTTACTGAATCACAATTTTTACTTTTTGGCAGTTAGTTTTCCCTTATAATACTCCTTCCTTTAAAAATCTATCCCAGAAAAAAGACTGACATAAAAAGAATTTTCATAGATTAAAAATTGATAATTTTTTTTTTAATAAAAATTAAATACGACCTGTAAGGTTGATTAACATTTTCATTCTGCTTCTCTCTTAATTGTATTTGGATATGACTTCAAACAAGTAATGGGTTTTATCATTTTATTAGTGAATCATATAATAAAACAATTATTGCTGTTTTTTCGGTCAATACAATGATTTAGCCATCTTCGAAGTACAATATTCACCTCGCCCTCCGGGCTCGGTGAATATTGTACTCCTCAGATGGCTAAATCATTGTATTGACCTCAAAACACAGCAATAATTGTATAATGTTCAATGCAAAAAATATTTGCAAAAAAATTATAATAAATAAACATTTGAATTTGTATGCGCTATTCCGTATTATTAATGTGCGTATTATCTAGTATCTATTATTTTCTTGGATTGGTTGTGTTTTTTATTTTTTGATCTGCTATCAACTACACACTGCCAAGATTTACAGCATGTACATGTATAAATATTTGTATTTCACAATTAATGGCTATAAAGCAATACTTGATCTGACAAATTAAATGTTGAACCATACATGTACTTTAATGCTACATTTAAATGTTATCGTAAAAGTTTATTCAATGTATGTGCATTTTATTGTATTTTAATGTTTCTCATGATTGTTCGGAGGACACACTATTTATGACTAGTATTAAACACTACATACACATTGAGGAAGACTCATAAAGGAAAATATAATTATTCTGGAGATACATGTATCACAGATTTTTAAAGTTATTCTTGTAATGATTAGATTTAAAACATATTGTGCTATTTTTGTGAATGATATTTTTGTGCTGTTATTCAATGCTACATGTACAGCCGACGCGGGCACTATATACGAGTATGCAAGTGCATACATGTACGATGTACAAACAGCATAAACGGCATCTTTAACTGCAATTTATACTTTGTTTTCAAAATATTTTATTTATATTTAGGGGTATTTGTATAGTTTACTAAGTCCAGTGATGGGACTTGAAGTACAAAAAATCTCATTCTGTGTAAATTAAGCGTCATTAGCATCGAATCAGGAACATTGCGTTGGTAGAATATCTATATCCGTATGCTAACTTTTGTAAAATTCATATTGATCACAGGTGACAACCAACACTATTTTAATAGTGTAACTAAGATATGTAATGATGAACTTATATGCGGGGTACAAAAGTGGTTGTTGCATGTGAAAGGGTCTAATTTCTGCAAAGATTACCCATTTTCCAGCATAATTTAACGATTTTGCGCGACCATTCGATGTTTAGCGCGTATCAGTGACGTCATAGTTAAAAATTACGTCATTTTTGTACCTGTAGAATTTACTTCGTATCTTCCTTACTACAATGCATAACATCAAACAATGATACAAAGATCATTAAAATATCGTATTATTTGCGGCGAATTATTGCTTATACCGTATTTTGTTCTTTATCAATAACTGTCTAATTATGTTTTACCTTTTTCAATAAAAACAAAATTGGAAAAACAACAGACAGGTAACTTATTTTTACAGGGTATACATTAGATATTAATTACAACATTTATTTATCTGAATATTTACCAATCTAATAGAAGACAATTACAATCAAGTCTTTTTGTTATCTTGACCTTTTTCATTAATAAACAAAATTTTGAATAATGCAGGGACTAACCTTCATTTTCCTTTCCTTTTCTGCTTTTCCATAATGCAAAGGGAACAATCAGCAGAATAGTGGTAAATACAGCGCCACCTAACGTCCCTCCAATTATCTGCTCTGTAGGACAGCCCTTATTTGTGTCTGAGGAATAAGTTTGCCATTTTATATGTTTAAAAATTCCAAACTTTTAGAAAGAGGATCAAAGTACATACCCTCCATCCTGTCTGGGTCTGTTACACATGAGTGGTTATTGGACAGAGCGATGCCGTAGTGGTTTGAGGTCAAAACTCTAAATATATAGACCGATCCAGGTTTCAGGTTGGTCACTTTAAAATTGTTTATTTCTATGTCATCTGTTCTATTCATTTTTTCAAACGATGCATTTAGAAACATATTTTTGCTTTCACTGAGCTGAAGAGTATGGTGTATGTTATTATTATCCTTTGTGGAGGGCGACTTCCATATAACGTATGCTTCTGTAGACCTACAATCAACATGTACCAATACCGGCGCAAGTGGTATATCTAGAATGAAATAAAGATATGCATTGGTGGATTTAAAACATTATAATTCTTTTCTTGAATGACTATATTGTTCTAGATTTAAAAGTACAATGTTGAAAGCTAAGTATTCAATGTATTCACAGGAATTGTTGCAAATGTCCAACATTATTTATAAAAAATATGATGTATGGGCAGTTGATTCTTCGGTAGATCTCTAATACTTACACTGTACTGAAACTTCAACAGAACCGCTGGAATTCCCCACAGAGTTTGAAGCTCTACAGGTATATGTACCCCCATCCTCAAAGGTGGCGGTCTGTATAACGTAAAGTTGACCTGTGGACACTACTGTGGAATTACTAGAATTTATCTTAGTCCAGCTGTACTCAGCAAGATCTTCTGGATTTTCAGTATAACAGTACATCCAGACATTGCTTTGCCCAGTTACTACCTTTAACATACTGCCCGGTAAGATTTTTACATCTGAAATATCTATGAGATTCATAGAATTTTAGTGATTACACGAACACCCTTTATATCCTTTCATTGAGAAAGGTCTAAAATAAAAAAAAGATGTCACAGTCATTAGTATACGCATCATTTGAGATAATATTTTATTTAAAATACAAAGAATTTGTTTAAATGTTCAATTGTTGATTTTGTTTTTAATTTTTTAAGCTGTTAGCGCAAAACATGAAAAAAGACACATTTTTTTTATATTGATAACATTACTTATGATAAGCTTTTGTTATCCTTAATCTTCATAAAGAAATATATGGAGATAACGAACAGTATTCAATCTCAAAGTCCACTAAACAATATACAAAATCAGAGCAGAGCAAACACGGCCCTCCGAAACATCAATGGTGGGATTAGGTGCCATGGAGGAGTGAGCATCCCCTGCCGACCGGTCACACCCGCCGTGTGCTCGTTGTCATGATCAGGGAATAACGGAAAAAATCCGTCGTCAATTTATTGTATGAATAATGGACTAACAATTGGTATGAAAAACGTCAGTCAGCATTTGACTCAATGATAAATTGTATTTGCTGACAAGGTCATTGTATCGACCATAGAACTTACGAAATGATGACTTTAAATGAGACTGTTGATATTCTTGTTTCATCAACTTGTTTGTCAATAATTTGCCTCGTTTTAGAAATTGTTCATACGTAGAGCATGCTCTTGCGTATGAAATCAACTGAGATATATATACTCCGTATGCAGGTGATGAAGGTATGACATACATTCATTTGAAAAAGACTACAGATTTCAAGACAACATCTATGTAGAGAAACTTATAAAATCTTAAAATAGAATTAATTAACATCACCGCTACTCTTATTTTTCATTTGAACAGAATACACAAATCAGATCAACAATGGAAAATGTGTAAAATTGTCGGCCCTTCGAATTAACTAGGTAATAGAAGATTGCAAAAACATAATATGGAACAATTTCCATGTTTTCATATTTCCTTTTCTAGGAAACGCATTGACAGAATCTTTACCAAAATTTAATAAAGCGAAAGATTTGTTCCCATTTTTTTTATTTAATGGTAAGTTATGTATTGTAAATTGATTTTTCATAATTTGAGTTTTCTGATTTTTAATAAAACAATGAAATTATTAAAAGTATATGATTCTAGTACACACATTTCACGTCTATGGTATATCTGTTGGATTCTACACTATGTCCCTGAGTGTTGCTGGCTACACAATATACTTGTTGACCGTTCTCTCCTACCACGCCAGTAAACTGTAATACTGAGGTTGTTCTCACCAGGTCCTCCTGATTTGTATCTTCTGTGGGCGTGGCCTGACTGGTGACGTCAGAAGATGCTTCATACCACGTGATCTTGGCTGGTGGGTTACAGTAGTCTGTTTGACAGGCCAGAGTTATCTTCTCACTCCTGTTGACTATTAATTGAGGCGGGGTCAGGACCACAGTAGTTACAGGTACTGTAAATAACAAGAGACCCACGGGCCTTATAGGTCACCTGAGTATCGTGTAACAACTTTCAAACAATTAAAATTGGTTCGTGTTTTAAACAAGAAAAATTCACAATTCACAATTTTGAAAGAGGCACATTGTTTAACATAATTATAAATTAAGCATGTTTACTGTATTTACTTAATACCCAAAGGTAGATCAGAGTAACAAAGAGAAAATGCACTTCCACTTTAAAACCAGTTGTGCACCCCACCCCAAAGGAACCACTGACCCTGGGGACACGTATTTCAAAATTTTTCAAATTTTATCATAAAATGGTTGATTAATACTAAAGAGCAGATTTCAAAGGATTAATTTTTAATTTAATTATTTAATTTAAATAATTTAATTAATTAATAATTATTTCAGTAGTGATCGTATTGCAATAGTGGTTGAAACCTATGGTTATTATATTGAAATGCACTCTCACCCAATATTGAAATAATTATTTCAATAGTGGTCGTATTTCAATAGTGGTTATTAGGCCATAATAAATAAATTGCTAGATTCTCATCCGAATTTTTTCAAAAATCGAGGCGGGCGGGCGGCTTTTATTTTATATTTTTTATTTTTTCAATTTGGCAGATTTTTTTATTGACCTGGTCAATCGTTGTAATTTTATCTACAATACCCGAATAAAAGTCATAGTAAAGGTTCAATTATCTCTTACTTGATATCATCACCAATCTTTTTTAACCAATGACCATTGTTTAAAATATATACGCATGTATTACAGCAATTACCATCTTTTCAGCTGTCAAAATCATGTCGACTTTCGCGGGATTTAAAGCGAAAGTAGAATGGGAGATGAATACCGATCCCGATCAGAATTAAGACGAAGAAAAACAAAATAAAAAAAAAATCGAGGCGGGAGTAAAAATCGGGGCGGGCGGGGATGAGAATCTAGGAATATTTTTATTATGGCCTTACCTATGTTTGTAATTGAAATGCACTCCCAACCATTATTGATATAATTATTTCAATAGTGGTCGTATTTCAATAGTGGTTACTAACTATGTTTTCTATTGAAATCCACTCTCAACCACTATTGATATAATTATTTCAATAGTGGTTGTATTTCAATAGTGGTTACTAACTATGTTTGCTATTGAAATCCACTCTCAACCACTATTGATATAATTATTTCAATAGTGGTCGTTATTTCAATAGTGGTTGCAACAAAGCACTCTTTTGCATTATAACTATATATTTAGTTAGTTTCTTTGATACCCAGGAGCAGAAAAGAAGATTTTCAAAGAATTAATGCATTTTCATTATATGATCAATAGAGCCCCGACCTTACACCAGAATCCCTGACCCTGGGGCCATGAAATTCTAAATTGTGCTAGAGGACTCAATGCTCATTACATTCATGACAACAGATTGCCTGCTTGATGTCCAGGAGTAAAGAAGAAGATTTTTAAAGATTGCAATAATTTTGGTAGTTTTGGCCTCATCTCTCAGGCCCCATGGGGGTGGGGACCATAAAATTCACAATTGTTGTTCCCCTTCACCCATAAATGCTGTATACAAAATTTGGTTGAAATTGGTTCAGTAGTTTCAGAGAAGAAGCTGAAAATGTTCATTTGTTGACAGGCGACGGACGACGACGGACGAAAACGGATAGCGATAGGTCACCTGGGTTACTCAGGTGACCTAAAAATTCTCATGAAAAGTTGCTTTCAAAAATAGCAAAAGTCAAATATCGTGATGAAATATGAAAATATAAAAGAAGCTTGGATTTTGTAAGCAATACATAAAAGGACATGTCTTCGCTTTTATGAAAATAATCCAGAATTGTTTTATGCTAATTAAAATTCAGAAAAAATTAAGAAAATAAGTTCTAGAAAGTAAAACTATGTAAAAATCTGTTAATTGTAAGGAAGGTGTATTTTTACAATTTTGAGACATGTCAAGTGCATAAAAAGAGTATGTCATCATTTCTACTCATCTTGTTTATTGTCAAACACATATTTCTAGACATCACTGCTAATCGGGTTTACATTGACATAAGAAAATTTTAAGCCGTAGGAGAATGAAGCTTGATATTCCACTTTATCATCTTCACATATACTCTCGCGTAAATTCTTAACTTGAATAAAGAATCCATTTCTTTTCAATTGTAGATTTAATGTAACTCCTACCCTTACTCACTTGTGACATTTAATGTGATGGTGTTGCTTCTCGGACCCCCAAATGGCGGTTCACAATACATTGTTACTTTGTGCCAGGAAGAATCAACAGTTAATGATACCCTGTAGGTCTGGTTGTTTGGACACTCAAGTGAAGTAAATAACTGACATCCACTACACACATCATATGCAAACGCACATCCTCTTTGTCCATAACTGAAGGAAGCTCCTGATTGACCATTTGCGTACAGACACTCAAACGTTACTGTCTGGTTAACAATAACATCTGATGCCGGCATTACTGACAATGTTGCTACACCTAAAATATATAATGAAAATATACACGATGTTTTTGTGCGTAAGAAATTCAGAATTAATGAGAGAGCAGGGTAGAACAAAACTAGAAGCAATATTTTATAAATCAAAATAACATATTAATCTTTAAGTGCCTCGTATTGTTATTAGACAGTGTGATTGAAACAAATAAAAATAATGTTCTTGCAAATGTCGATACACAAGGACTTTTCCATTTGTCTCAATAAATAATAAATAAGTATCCCAAACTTCTATGGTGTATTGGCGTATAGT